CCGACGGACGGGCGGGCAGGGCGAGGCGGGTGCGCGGGACGAAACGAACAGCCCGCCGGAACGTTCTCGCGCCGCCGCCGCCGCCGCCGCCGCCGCTCTGGCCGTCGCCGGGAGCGTGGAGTGAAAGAGGAAGGAAACGCAACGCCACGACCGGACGGTGCAGCCTGCCGCCTCGAACTACTTCGGGTTCGGCTGCCAACGTCAGCACTAGGCGGGCTCCGCCCCGCGGAAGTGCGGGCTCCGCCCGCTGGAGAAGGAGGGCGGAGGCAGGCGCACCCTCACTAGTCCAGCCCTCCCAAGCTCTGGGAAGTGTTGCCCCGGTGCTGCGCGTGCGCGATGGGGCTCCTCTTCTGCGCCTCTCTGCAACCGGAAGTGAAATGGCCCCGAGGATGATGGCTCCGGAAACACCCACTCGCCGTCTCCACGACTGAGGAGACGTGTAGGGGCCGGGTTTGGCCCTCGTGAACTCTCACCTCACTGAACGGGTTTCTCTTTCCGGGACAACATGGCGCCGTCCACGCCGCTCTTGACAGGTGAGTTCTGAGCGAGCAAGAGACTGTTTCTTCGCAACAGTCTCTTTTTCTGTCTTTGCCCTTGGGAACTACCCGAGGAGCCTTGGAGTCTGATCCGCCTTTTCTTGTGGCTTGTGAAAGGGCAGGACTGTCTTTTGGCTTTCTTGATATAGCGTGGCAATCGGAAGGAAGCCTCCGCCTCTGGGCTCCGGTGGTCCCCCTCCCTTTCACCCATCCATCATTCTTCCCTGAAGATTCATCTCCTACAAGAGTTCAAGAAGGTGAAAGCTAACAGCGAGTGCTAGCTGAATTTGTAACATCTGGGTCTGAAGTACTGCTGTTACACGGGCCCCTGTGAAGTCATTTAGCTCTGTAATATAGACCAAAGATAAGCATATGACAATCTTCTAGAGTGACTACACACATTAAATACAACTGGGCGTAAGTAGTGCCAATTTCTGTACTCCCTGCCTTAATGACGTTTGTAGGACTGAATAGGGAGAGTGGAGCTATAATAGTGCAGTTATTGAGGCTGTTGTGTGGAGGGGGGGGTTGCAGTGAGCATGATAGAGATATTCTAGCCGCACTTGATACTGAAATGGTTATGAGCATTTTAGAAGTAGAACATCAGAGGACTCCTGAGATTGTGAGGCTAAAGACAAAGTTTGGAGAAGATAGTACACATAGTATTTGGCAATACCTGGGAAGTCGTTGTACTAGGGTGTGGCTGGGAGTCTTTCTGTATATAAGTATTGAATAGGAGAGGGGAGTTGGGAGGGAAGAGAAAGTTTTGATTAAGTCATGATAACTATATTGACGTAAAAGTTCGTTAAGAGAAAGGTTGCCAACATTTGAGGAGGGGAAAAGCCTTGAAAGTAACCTGAAAAGGTTTTTGCGCTTTTGCCATTCTCCATTTTAAGATCTTTGTTATTAAACACCATACCCATTTATATCCTACTTACTGCCTACTATAGTTTATTCATCAAGGGCTAACTATAATCTGCTAGGTAATGTGCTAGGCAAAGACTGTTTAAAAGGCATTACATGATTAAACTCCAACCTGTGGCATAGCATATGGGACCCTTTATAATCCTGGGATGTTTTTGCTTGTTTGTTTGTTTAGTTTAGTTTAGTTTAGTTTTGTTTTTTTGAGTTGGAGTCTCACTCTGTCGCCCAGGCAGGAGTGCAGTGGCACGCTCATGGCCACCACAGCCTCGACCTGCTGGGCTCCGGCAATCCTTCCACCTCAGCCTTCCAAGTAGCTGGTACTACACGGCTTATTACACAGAATAATTATCTGGACATTCAGTTGTTCTTCTCCCCTGCTAGATGGTAAACCATTTGATATCAGGTGCAGGGTCTTAGTCATCCCTATCTTCTCAGTATCTAGTATGGTGCCTGGTACTCTAGTTGTTAAATGAGGAAGTACATTAACAAAGGATAGCTACTTTATTTATAGTCAAATTAACCAAGGATGACAATTTTCTTACAATGCTTAAAATCATGTACTTTGTAAGAGCTTAATGGTTATCTATTCAGTCTATCCTTCATATTCTCATAGACCCAGAGAGATTAAGTGGTCAGTTTCACACTGCAGATTGGCAGGGTCAGGATTATACATATTCATGTTGTTTAGCTTCATGGACCATTTTCTTTCACTGGAACTCACTGCTTAATCTTTTACGCTTTCTTAGGTACTTCATTCAACAATAGATTATTTTACTTCCAAAATCTTTTGTTAAACTTAGACTCATAGAATTTTAGAGCTGTGGATAATATGGAGATTATACAGTAGACTTTATTTGCCGTAACTCCTAATTGGAAATGACAAAAAAGTCAAAGTAAGTGAAAAAGGAATTTTTTTTTAACTCATGTACTCTAAAATAGTACTACTAGATCAAGATAATCTTATAACCTCAAAAATTGTTTTTCTTTACCCCTAGGTTCTTGCTTTCCTCTAGATTAAATTCATTTTTTAGGCTGACATTTAATCAGCTCAGCAGCTCCAAAGAAAAGAACATATTTTTACCTGTAGCCTCAGCGAAAATCTCCAGGCTGTCTGTCTTTGACGTTACTAGGCTCCTGTTTATCTTTTTTTGTTGTTGTTGTTGAGTTGGAGTCTCACTCTGTCACCCAGGCTGGGGTGCAATGGTGCACTCAGAGCCACTGCAGCCTCCATCTGCAGGGCTCAGGTGATCCTTCTGCCTCAGCCTTCCAGGCAGCTGAAACCACAGGCTGCCACCACCACACCCACCTAATTTTGTGTTTATTGTAGAGACAAGGTCTCACCATGTTGCCCAGGCTGGCCTTGAATCCCTGGGCTCAGGCAATCCTTTTGCCTCCACCTCCCAAAGTGCTGGGATTACAGGTGTGAGCCACCATGCCTGGCGGTTCCTGTTTATCTTTTCATCAGTCAACTTTTCATCAGATCGCCAAGACCAAATTATATTCTCACCACAGGATGGTCTTCAAAAGAAAACTAGTTTTTAACCTTAGTACAAAAATCTTGGTCTATTTAATATTGATTACAACTCTATACTTTTGTCCAGTATTCTCAAGTAAAACTATTCTTGAGAAATATTGAAAAACTGAAACTCTCAGTGACTTTAATTTATTTGCTATATTTTGAACAAATCATTACCAAAAACTATTTTTAAAAGCTTTTTATTTTGATATAATTTAAGCTTCACAGAAATGGCAAAAATAGTAGAGAGTTCTGTGTACTTTTTACCTAGCTTTCTTCAATGATAACATCTTATATAACTAACGTATATTATCAAAACCAGAAAATTGACGCTGGTATAATAGTATTTACTAAATTACAATTCTTACTCAGATTTCATGTGTGTGTTGCCTTTTTGGCTTCATAATCTGCGTGAAAAGGAGTATGAGTTGAGTTGTGTTTTTTTTTCTCACTACTTTTTTGGGGTCTTCTACCTGCTTTACTTTGGGATAGCAGTATAAAAACAAATTTTCGAAAAGGAAAACCCTCAACTGGTTGCCCTGAATACCTTGAAACTTTCCACCACTGTAGCCAGAATACTTTCATGGATTCTGGGATATAACTGCCACCTTAGTAATGTACAAAAACCTTGAATTTTCTCCAAGTAAATATTATGGTTGGTGATAACAGCAAAATCAACAGTGGAGAAACAAGGCTACTTGTTAAAAGTGTCAGAAGAGCACAGGAAGCCGAGATGAGCTGGGAAGAAGGTTTTTCTTCTTTTCTTTGGCAGTCAGTTCAGACGTATGTTCTTGGGGCCAGTGGTTAGGATAATAGAACATGGTTTGATCACATCAGCATTTTCTATTTACACCGCAGCTCATCGGGCTGCACTGACGATGTGCCATTTTGCTCTCCTACGTCTATGTGTGAATTACGAAGGAGAGCTCTTAGTGTGTTAAATTGCCACTGCAGCTCATGGGAGGGACCTTATGCTGACAATAGTTTGTGCAACATAGGAATGAAGTGTAATCTGAGAATTATAAACTTCCTAATTGGAGAAATTCATTTTATTTTTCCCTCAAATAAATGTTTGTTGAAATCTTAATTATGGTATTAAGAAAAGAATGACTTATTCTGTTCTAAACTGTCATGCATCATATTTGATATTGCAGCAGATGATTGATTTGATGATGAAAAATAGCACTGCTTTGCCCATGTGGTAAGATAATTTTAATGAATTGAACTGCATATTTTTTAAATCTAGGAAAGCATTTTCTTGCACAAGAAGTTTTAGAAATATTAGAGATTTTTAAGATGGATGCAGCAATCCCAGCAACCTGAGAGGTGGGAACAGGAGGATCACTTTGAGACCTGGAGATTGAGACTAGCCTGGGCCACATAGCCTGTCACTACCAAAAAAAAAAAAAAAATTGTCAGCCATGTTGGCACATGCCTAGCAACAGAGTGAGACCCTGTCTCTAAAAAAAAATAAAAAAGTTTTTGGAATGGATATCTTCAGTATTTCATTCACAGGGTATTAATAGGCTAAGCTTCTTTGAAATCACTATCTTGAATGCAGTGATGGATTCATTTTTTTTTAAATCCCTAATGCCTAGCACATGATAGAACTATGCGGGGGCCAGATCATATAAAGCCTTATAGGTTGTGGTATTAAGAATTTGGGTTTTAGCCAGGCTCAGTGGCTCAGCCTGTAATCCCATGCCTTTGGGAGGCTGAGGTGAGTGGATTGCCTGAGCCCGCGGGTTCGAGACCCGCCTGGGCAGCGAGACCTCATCTCTACAATAAATCAAAAAAAATCAGCCGGGCGTCGTAGTGCATGCCTGTAATTCCAGCTACTTGGAAGACTGAGGCGGAAGGATCACTGGAGCCCAGCAGGTCGAGGTTGCAGTGGCCGGGAGCGGCCACTACACTCCAGTCTGGGCGACAGAGTGAGACTCCAACTCAAAAAAAAAAAAAAAGAATTTGGGTTTTGATATTTGCAGAGCACTTTGCTGGGGTCCAATCTGTTCAAGGGCAAAGTATCCTCAGGGACAACTGTTTTCCCAAACTAGCTCAGCCTAGTAGTGTTCTGGATATGAGAAAACATGACACCCATTTATATACTTGTGGATGTCTAGCAAGAAACTCATCCCTCACTTGTGTGTGTTTACTAATGTGTTGTCCATCTCTTCACAGGAATAGAAACTATGAGAACATAATTTTCATCTTGTTCATTAGAGGTTCCTTTGCTTTCGTTCTGACTTTAGTTATTTACTTTGAGATCATAGGATACCTGAAATTGGAGCTAGTAAATTCTGAGGTAGAATGTCAATATTCTGAGAACTCTTGACAGGTCTTGAGATGGGAAAGGAAGCAGAGTTCAGACTTGGAGCTCCCAGGTAGGGTAGCCCCTATCTACCAACTTTGCTGCTTTCCTAGTAACCAAGAAAAGGTTGGGGATTTTTTTTTTTTTTTTTTTTTTTTTGAGTTGGAGTCTCTCACTCTGTCTCCCAGACTGGAGTGCAGTGGCACACTCACAACCACCGAAACCTCTACCTGCTAGACTCAGGTGATCCTTCCACCTCCGTCTTCCAAGTAGCTGAAACTACAGGCACATGCCATCACGCCTGGGTAATCTTTTGATTTATTGTAGAGATAAGGTCTTGCCAAGTTGCTCAGACTGGTCTTGAACCCATGGGCTCAGGCAGTCCTCTCACCTTGGCCTGCCAAAGTGCTGGGAGTATAGGCATGAGCCACTGCACTTGGCCAGGTTGGGAAATTTGTGAATAGTTGGCAGAAAAGGAAGCAGGTATAGTGATAGACAGAGACCCTTAGTAAAATGTTTTCATCTCTTTAGCCTTTATACTGTTGCTGTTAGTTGATGAAATGGCAACTCATCACCAGGTTTTGTTAGTTTTCTCACCTAAATATTGCATACTCATTCCCTATTTTCAATCTCTACTGCCCTACCGGATCCAAGTTTCCATAATCTCTCCTGTGGGCCTATTGCAGAAGTGTCTTGAATAGTTTCACCACGTCCACTTTTAATCCTTTCCAGTTCATTCTCTACAGTGTACCAAATTGATCTTTTCAAAATGTAGATCTTACTTTTAATGCTCTGCCTAAAACTCTTAAAGTGTTCCATTGTTCTTAGGATGCCAACCAGCGACCAGCGTTGCTTAACTTAGGCCTTAATATCCTTCTTGATCTGAACCTTAGGGAAGCTTTCCGTGGAGTCTGTTACTGTTCTCATTGCTTGTTAACGGCTGTTCAACATTTAGATCTCAGCATACAAATCACTTACTCAAGGACACTTTTCCTAACCTTTTATTTTTAGGTCAGAACTCCTTATTTTACACTCTATGGCACTATATATCTTTCCTTTGTATCACTAAACACAATTATACAATTCCATATATTAATATTTGGCTAATTATTTGATTACTATCTGCAAAGTTCAATAAGTTCAGAGATAGGCTGATTTTCCTCTGTTGTGTCTCCAGTGCTCAACATAGGACCTAGGAGGTAGTTTTTATTTTTGTTGTTTTTCAGTAAGCGTTTGTTGACTAAGTGAATCAATTTATTCGGGTCAGCTTTAGAAGCATCTAATTCAGTCATTTTGAAAAATATAGTCTGATTCTCCAATGCATCTTATTGTATTTGTTCTCTTAGCTTGGGAAATTATAAATATATTAATTTTCATTTAAAAAATAATCTAAAAACTTTAAATATATACTGTGTTTTCACGGTATTATTTTATATAAAGCATACAGCTATCCCGTGTTCTTTTTGTTGTTTTTTGAGGAGCCTCATTCTGTCGCCCAGGCTGAAGTGCAGTGCACACTCATGGCCACCACAGCCTTGACCTGCTGGGCTCAGATGATCCTTCTGTCTCAGCCTTCAAAGTAACTGGAACTACAGTTGCGCACCACCACACCCGGCTAATTTTTTGACTTATTGTAGAGTGGAGGTCTCACCAACTTGCTTAGGCTGGTCTCGAACCTCTGGACTTAGGCAACCCTCTCACCTTGGCCTTCCAAAGTGCTGGGATTACAGTCTTGAACCACTGCGCCTGCCCTTCTAATATTTCTAATACTACAGATTGGGGCAAAAGTTCAGTGGTGGTGATGTATCCAGGTTTCCACAAACCAAGATCTGCCTCTGAGTTCACGTCCTTTCTACCTCACCACAGATACCTTTCTTTTACTGGTGACAGTTACAGTTTTGAGTTTTTATTTATAAAATGTACATATTTATTTCTCAACTATTAGATGATTTTATATACAGGAAGACCCCAACATATGAATGGGTTCCGTTCCAAGATCCCATTTGTAAGTCCAATTTGATTTTGTGTTTGTTTTGGGTTTTTTTGAGTTGGAGTCTCACAGTGTCGCCCAGGCTGAAATGCAGTGGCATGCTCACAGCCCCCACAACCTCGACCTGCTTGGTTCAGGTGATCATTTTGCTTCAACCTTCCAAGTAGCTGGAACTATAGTCGTGTGCCACCACGCCTGGCTAATTTTTTTATTTATTGTAGAGACGAGGTTTCACCTTGTTACCCAGGCTGGTCTCAAACCCATGGACTCAGGCATTCCTCTCGCTTCTGCCTCCCAAAGTGCTGGGATCCAATTTATTTTAAGTCCAACAAAGTTAGTCTAAGTACCTAATTAACACAGTCAGCTACTCAGTACTGTATGTATTTAACAGGCTAGTTATTTCTCTCCTGGTGAAATAATTCATTAAAAAACTCAAGTGTGCACCTTTAACATTCATAACTTGAAGTTTCGTATGTAGAAGACTTAATGTACTAGGATAAGAAAGTATGCCCTTTTAATGCTAACATTTTGTAGTTCCATTAGATATTTAATGACTTCATTAATGTTTTAACTAAAGCTTTTTTCTTTTTGGAACATTTGTGATAACTGTGTCTTTATTAACAAAGTAATGGTGATTCTTTTCATTTTATTTCTTTAGTCCGAGGATCTGAAGGACTGTACATGGTAAATGGACCACCACATTTTACTGAAAGCACAGTGTTTCCAAGGTACGTTTATTTTGTTGAGTTATGTTATAGGAAACATATGGTGTGTTCTAAGGTGTTTCTATTAGTAGTGTATTTTGAACAAGAAAAAAAACAGATAAACTAGTTTCTTGGGACATATTATATAATACTAACAGAAGATGGGAAGAATACATATTCTGTATCAAGGAAAATGTTCTTCAGATCTGAAAATAATAACTTAAACCTATTTATAAGGCAGGAGGAACAATACAAAGAAAAAGCGTAGACATTAGTGTAGTAGAGTTCAAGCCTTTAGTTTACCTTTCAGAATAAGAACTTCCAAATGTGATAGCCAAACCACTGCCAATAATCTTTGTGAAATCAGAGAATGAATATGGCATGAGAAAGGAAGGAATATGAGTGTGTGTGTGTGTGTGTGTGTAAAAATATGTAGCTAGCTAGATATATTTTCCCAAAAAGAAACAATGGTAGAGTAAACTAAAAACTGGTAAAAATGCTTACCTGTAGGGGGAGAGAGAGTTACAGGATGCAGGGGACATGTCTTTGAATGAACTTTGGAATATATAGTTGTGACTTTGGACCATGTAGTTGTTTTAAATTAAAAAGCTAAATACACATAATTAAAATGGAAATGGAAACAAGTTATCCTAGCTTTATATCAAGTTGGTGGCATAACCATATGAAGGATTGCAAAATTCTTAAAAACATCCAGTAGTTTTATGTTTAACAGAAAATTGATATTGTCATTTGAATCCTACAGGATAAAGTAAATAAATAATCATATTAATGTCATTAGGAACCAAGATTTTTCAGCACAAGAATGAAGAGATATACTTTCCTGCATCAGTATGAGCTCATGATTACTTTCATAAAAACACTGGTGTTTCCTAGTTCTGTCCACTGAAAAAGCTGGAAGCGGTGATAACCCAGTAGCAGTAAATGCACAGATTGTGACCTCTAAATTCCATTTCTCACTGAAAGGAACTAGTTACTTGTAGAAGTAATTGACTCTAGGTCTAAGACAGAAAATGTACAAGCTAAGCCAGGGACTACAGTTTTATGCCAGAAAGCAAAGAAGCTGTAAAAGACAAATGGGGGTTAGTTAAAGGCTTAATAGAGTCAATTTGAATGAGTTCACACCAACCTAAATGGGACAACTTAAGCATTAATTATTACGACTGAAAGGTAAAACATGTCAAGTATATAAATGCTCCAAAAAAAATCTACCCCCTCCAAACCTTATTGGTCAGCTTCAGGGTGTAATGGGGTTCTTGCTTATTACTTTGAAAACTGATAAATAAAGGGGAGTAATTAAGCATTTGTTTTGCTTTGTTCATAAAACTGTTTTAAGAGTAACCAGATAGTTGGTGAGGAAAAGTTCTTTTTTTTTTTTGAGTTGGAGTCTCACTCTGTCACCCAGACTAGAGCGCAGTGGACACTCCTGGCCACCGCAGCCTCAGCCTTCCAAGTAGCTGGAACTACAGGCTCACGCTACCATGCCCAGCTAATTTTTGATTTATTGTAGAGATGAGTTCTTGCCAAGTTGCCCAGGCAGGTCTCGAACCCGCAGGCTCAGGCAATCCATTCATCTCAGCCTCCCAAAGGCGCCGGTTTACAGACTGAGCCACCAAGCCCAGCTAGAGGAAAAGTTCTTTATAGAAGAATTCCAATTAATAAATACAGGAGAAATGATGAACTGGTGATGGCTTTTCTTTTTTCCCCCAATAAGAGATCCCTTGTGGAATGCTGATGGGGAACTTTATAATCAGGCTGACATCATTTGAATCTGTTGACCAATTTTATTAGGCTCAGTTCCCTAGAACCTTGCTATGGGAAGTATGGTCCAAGTCCAGTCATATTGGCATTACCTCTGAGTCAGCACAGAAATGTATCTCAGCCATACTCAACTTATTGAATCACAATCTATATTTTAACCAGAGCTTCAGATGATTTGTATGCCTGTTAATGTTTGAGAAGCACTACTCTACAAAATAGAGTCTGTGGCAAAGTTATATGCTACATTTCATTGCGGTGTACAATCCCAAGGCAGCAGGAGTAAGGGGGGAAAAGGTTGTGAGGCAGAGAAGGAGTGAAAGTAAATATAATAGGGGTACACTGAGCTGGCCACAGATCTACAAAATACAGCTGAGTTGCTTGGTCATGTGTGCAAAATGTCTCCAGCAAGGCTGTATGGAACTATTGTGCTCTGAACAATCTATTGTGGGGCAGAAGGGTAAGAAATGTACTATAGCCAGAGTCTTTTAGCCTGTTTGAGTGGAATCTGAGTGCCAGAGCTCCTGTCCCTGCCGCTGCAGTGAGTATGATGGAAGCCATGAAGTCTGGTCCTTACTCCTAGAAAGTCTGAGATAAACTGTGGCATTAGGAGATGAGGTGACCAGGTCTTCATTGAGTGGTTAGGCAGATCCAAGGAGGCACATGACCGAATCTGATGCAATCTCAGGATCACTAAGAGTAGAACAAAGAGATTTATGTGCCTGCTGGTGAGTTGCAGTCGGAATTATGTAGTACTTGCCTTCTGCAAAGGTTAAAAATTTTTCTTACCTCTGAATTGATTCAGTCTTTTAAATGAGTTGTTCTCAAATTTGACCGCATATTAGGATGCCTTGGGGAGCTTAAAAATCAGGATATCCAATCCAAATACTGGGTATTAGATGATAGTAGGGAGTTAGTTTTGTGAAATGACATGGCATATGATGATTGTGTTTTTTAGAAAATATCCTCATCAGTTAGAGATGTATGCTGAAGTAAAGAATAAAATAATGACATCTGGATTTTGCTTTAAAATACTGTGGCATTAAAAATAAAGGTGGGAAGTAGATAAACAAAATTGGCTTTGAGTTAATAGCTATTTAAGCTTGGTGGTGGGCGCATGGATGGGTTATCACACTTTCTCTATATTTTTGTATACATTTGAAATTTTTCATTTAAAATTATACCAAAAGGAAACAGACAAAATTTCCCAGTTGCCAAGGTTAAGAAAAGAACTGAATTCTAGATTCTGTAGTCAAGTAAGCTTTCCTTTAATCCTAAATACAGTTCTATTATGTGTTACTAAAAGGACAGTTTGTAATCATTGAGATAAGGAAGTAACTATTGAAGTTAAAATGTTGCTTGCTTAGAACAAATTGTTTCAGGCTTATCTCATTTCCTTTCTGGGTAGAATTTTCAGACACATCAGAATAATAGAACTGTAAACATGATTTTAGCAAAATATCTGAGAAATAAGAAAGTCTTTGGGTCGGATGATGATGACAGAGATGTCACTGGTTAAGGGCAATAAAGTTAGCTGATTATTGAATTGGTTTTAATTTGAGGAAAGACTGTTGGTGAACCACAGGGTTTTGTTCAGAGCTTATTCAACATTCTTAAAAATAATTTATATGATAACTTAGAAATGATGTCTTGTAATTTATACATTACATAACCTATAAGGAATGACTAATGTTTTAAAAGAGAAAATCAAGATTCAAGTAGATCTCAGTAGGCTGGAATGATAGGCCAAAACCTGGGTGGAATTTAATAAGGATAATTATAAAATTCTGCCTTAAAGTTTGGAAATGAGTTGCACAAGTATAGGATGGGGAACATCTTGATCTTGGCTATGTATGTGAAAAAGAGATTTTCAAAATAATGTTTTGCTAATCATAAACTGAGCACAAGCTATCATTGTGTGATTGCAGAAGTACAAATGTCATTTTCAGAAGAATTAATGCAATGGTAATGTCCTCAATAGGGATGCATTGGTCAGTTCTCAGTGCATTTGTTGTACTTAGCAATTCAAATTATTTATTAGCCATGAAGTTCTCACTGAATGTCTGACCACACCGATGGACATCTGCATGTACACAGATGCACATCTCTATTTGGGCCTTCATTATCGCTGGTAGATATCTTCATAGTGGCCATCTCCAGCTGAGAAATATAGCACTTGTAGTTGTATTACTTGATGGAATATTGCCAAGTAGTCTGGTTTCCACAGATCTGTGTTTGTACGGAATACCATATCTGAAAGACGGTGGCACACAGTGAGACTCAACACCCTTTAAGGCCAAGAGATTTAATGGGGATGAGCGGGGTGGCTACAGAACCTGAGAATCAGATTGCAGCATGGAGGCAGGGGTGTGGCAGGTTTTATAGAAATTTAAAGCGACCTGTCGGTTACCTATTGGTCGGCAGGTGAGGTATTTTTGGGATTGGCAGGGGGTTTCGCGGGCTCAGGAACGGTGGGCTTTGTTGTGGAAGAAGAACCCGGAGAGCCTTGTCCGAGCCTCCATGTTAGTTTGTCTGGGCGCCTTCTTAGGCCGGAGCGCCATTTTAGGTGGGGGCCACGCCTAGGCTTAGCCTTTGGAGGGGGTGGGTTCCTCGTGGCTGGCTGGCTTTCAATATCAGCATTTATTTAATGTGAATATCCTCTTTTTGTTGTGATACTTTCCATCTCTACACATGAAAAATTCATGGAAGGTCTTCCTCTGTCCCTCCATGCGGGGACATTTGTTGGCTACTTGAGGATATCCTGTCCACCTTTGTTTTGTTATACAGGTGGCCTGGGACATTCCACAAGATCTCCATTTTGAAATCCATCAGCCTTCTCAAAATCAGGGCTGAGAGTTGGTAACTTTCATATTCGGTTACAGTTTTGAATTTCTACACAAATTTGTTATTCACCACAAAGGCCTCTATTACTTTTTTAAGATTGCTCTATTGGTATCAAATCCATTTCTAGCTTACTTTACAATGATTGTTAGCATTTCATTTTAAGAAATAAAGTATTTTGACAGACTAAAGCATTTTGGAATGATTTTCTAAAATTGGTGTAAGTTCTTAGTTATTAAATTAATAGTAAGATTATAGACTTTATAATTAAGTTTTTTTTGGAAAAGTATTAATGCTTATTCATTTAAACTTCTTTTTTTGTCATTTTCAGGGAATCTGGGAAAAATTGCAAAGTCTATACCTTCAGTAAGGATGGAACCTTGTTTGCCTGGGGCAACGGAGAAAAGTTAGTGTTCATTTATATAACATGTTTTATGTGTGTCACGAATATAAACATAACTGGCATTATTTGAATAACATGTATTTGAGTGTCATTAATAAAGACTGTCTTTTATTTTCATGTAGTGCAATATCTTCAGCATTACATAGAATATCTTCAAAGTTGTAAGCTTCCATATATATGACTTGTTTGAGTAATCTACTTAGAATTAAAAATTAACATGAGGCCAGAATCATTGGCTCAGCCTGTAATCCCAGCACTTTGGGAGGCCGAGACGAGTGGATTGCCTGAGTTCACAGGTTCGAGACCAGCCCAGGCAACTTGGCAAGACCTCATCTCTACAATAAATCAAAAATTAACCGGGCATGGTAGCATGTGCCTGTAGTTCCATCTACTTGGAAAGCTGAGGCAGAAGGATTACCAGAGCCCAGCAGGTCAACGCTGGGGTGGCCATGAGTGTGCCACTGCACTCCAGCCTGGGTGACAGAGTGAGACTCCAACTCAAAAAGAAAAAAATTAACATGAAAAACACAATTAATACTAAAGAAGCTGAGAGGTTTTAAATAGTATTCTAAGTTATTGGTTAGGGTTTCTTAAGTTCTGCACTAACACTGAGAAAATAATTGTCTTTACTTATTTAACCTTAGATGTTTTTTATCTTTGTGGTTAAATTAGTAGCAATTGTCTGCAGTTATTACTACTGGTTTTATTGTATGTAAAAGTTTATTAGTTCTTCAAGAGACTGTTTAGTAGAATCTATGTTACATAAAATATCAGATTACAAAATTGGTCTTGCAAAAAATAATTTGATGAATTGCTTATATTTTACTAAGAAAACCACTCCTTTTGAATTTTCTAAGAGCTACTACAACATTTTGTTTTACAGACCAGAAAAATATCCAAATATTTATTGCTTGAAGTTATTTATGTTATTTTAACCACATATAATGCTTTTAGGTTTTTTGAAAGGAGAAAATGTATGCATTTGTTTGAAAAGTACATTTTAAATGTTGCTTTAAATGTTTTAAATGTGCAGTGGTAAAGTACTCTGAAATCTTTCAACTATTGGCTGAGATTAGATTAATCACATGATGTTTAAAAATTGACTACTAAACAGAATAGTTGAATTAATCGATTTACCTTTTTTATAACTATAAGTGGCTGGTAGAATTAGCTCTTATAATTAAAAAATTAATCAGTTTTAATTTTTTTAAAGTTATTGAATCCAGCCAATAAACTGCTACTCTCAAATTATTAGTTGTGTAATTATATTGGGTCTTATCCACAATGTTAACAGACAGCCTTAATCTCAGCCTCAAAAATGGGATGTATTCTCATATTTTCTTATTTCTTTCTGTGTAACCTATTGTGGGTATTTTTGTTTTATTTTTAAATCTGTATTTTAGTTTATACTATTTGAGTATTGAGTCAATAGAAATTTACTTCCTAATGGAATATATCATACTTCTTTTCCTTATCTATTATTATTTTGAGGTATTCCTCATTCTAGTAGCTTAGTTTGTTGAATAAGTCTGTTTTTACTTTAGCAATTATTGCTAATACTTCGTTCATATTCTTTAGCCTTTTGTTGAATTCAACTTTGAATCTTTTTACTCTGTCCCCATATATCATGTTCATTATTTTAATAAATTTGTTTTTATACCAGGTGCTAGCATTTGTTTCCTTGAAGTGCTCTGGTCACAGTGGTGCATATTGTTCTGGGGCAAGAGAATCAGATATAGGGTGTTGATCGTGGTCTTGGTTGAAAAACCAGTTATCAACAACAACAAAAAATAAGAAAACTTTTGTAATTCTAAAATGTGTTATTTTCAATAGGTTATAAAGAATCGTGTGTGTGTGTGTGTGTGTGTGTGTGTGTGTGTGTGTGTGTGTGTGTATTTAAACAGCATGTGATAATCTTTCATTCTTACCAGTTACTGTTCTTATCCTAACCTTAGTATCTTCCTCAAACCTGAGCAAAACAAAGTTACATTCAACTATTTCCAGAATAATAGGGTGGAGTATTTATTTGCTTATTTTTAAATCCCAAAGAATAGTGGAGTGCATAAAAGCAAGTCAGGCCAGACATTTCAAAACTTGGCTTTAGCATGTATCATCAAAATGATCTTGAGGCAAATCATCAAATCATTTGATTTTTCCAAGCCTAAATGTAACCATTTATAAAAAAAAAATGATAACTCTTGTGAGGATTAAATGAGAAAATACATAGAGCAGTTAATTAGGTTAGGCCACTACATGGTACATCGAAAGCATCCCAAAAAATAGAAACTGCTTTTATTATACAGTTATTGTCATTATTATGTCACAATAATTTTCATAGTCATCATAACTTTTGGAAACTGCTTTTGGGATTTTAATAGACATCAAAAGTCTCCTTACCGATTTTCCTAGTTGATACAGCATCCATTTATATATATATATATATATATATATATTTGTTTTTTTGTTTGTTTTTTAAGTTGGGGTCTCACTCTGTTGCCCATGCTGGAATGCAGTGTTACTTACGACCATGGCTCAGTGCAACCTCGACCTCCTCAGCTCAGGCTTCTGTTTCAGCCTCCCAATAACTGGTACTGTAGGCATGTGCCACCATGCCCGGCTTTTTTTTTTTTTTTTGGCAGAGACAAAGTCTTGCCATGTTGCTCAGGCTGGTCTCAAACTCCTGAACTCAAGCTATCTTCCCGCCTTGATCTCCCAAAGTGCAGGGATTACAGGCATGAGCCCCCACACGCATCCTGTTAATTCAAATGTAAAAGTATACTTTTACCATTCTCTCTAGTCTGTCTTCCTTCCCTTTGGTTTGAAATGCCTCAGCTTCCCTAGAGGGTTAGCTTTGTGTTCGCTTAAAGGCCTTGTTATTTCCTTTTCAGCTGAAGGTGGAACCATCGTGTGTCTTTCTCTCAATTCTATATTATTTCCCAACACTGCCCTTACATAGGGGCCTTTGAACAAAATGTACTTTTTTTTTCAGTTAAAGTGTTTCTTGGATATTTTCTAGAACTAGCTGAAAATTGATTTTTATGCAAAATGAACACTTTGGAGTGATCTGTATTTGAAAAGAGATGTGAATGTTTTGGTTAGTGCTGACTGTTATGAAACAGTATTTCATTGCTGAAGTAATTTCTTTTGAAACCAGAGTAAATATTATCAATGTCACTAACAAGGGACTACTGCACTCCTTCGACCTCCCAAAGACAGTTTGCCTTGAATTCTCGCCAAAAAACACTGTCCTGGCAACGTGGCAGCCTTACACTAGTAAGTATTTACCCATTGTAAAAATATTCTGGCAGGACCAGTTAAATTTAGTGGAAAAAAAGGGAGAAAGTTTATAACCTTATGAGAAAATAATTAGTCCTTATGATGGTGAATAGTTTGTGAACATTTATAATCAACAGTGAATTCTAGACTTTCCAAATGTACTGAAAGTAATTTTAAGGTATACAATAGGTTAGTGAAAAGATCCAGCTCAAGGAAAAATTTAGAAAGTAAACAGCTGCTGTATAGAGAAGATCTCTAAAGAATAAGAATAATTATGATTTTTAAAATCAAAACATTTAAAGTAAGTATAGTAGACAGCATCCAAGAGAGGTGTATGGTATGGCAAAGAGTAGAAATGATGTGCCATTTTCTTTATTTTTTTCTTTTTTTTTTTTGAGTTGCAGTCTCACTATGTTGCCCAGGCTGGAGTGCAGTGGCATGATCACAGCCACCGCAGCCTTGACCTGCTGGGCTTGGGCGATCCTTCCACCTCAGCCTTCCAAGTAGCTGAAACAACAGGCACGTGCTTTCATGCCTGGCTTATTTTTTTACTTTGTTGTAGAGATGAGGACTCATCAAGTTACCCAGGCTGGTCTCAAACCCCTGGGCTCAGACAATCCTCTCGCCTTGGCCTCCAAAAGTGCTGGGATTACAGGCTTGAGCCACCACACCTGGCTGATGTGCCATTTTCTAGCATATTTAAAGATATCTACTGATAATTACATGGATATTTTATATAGCTGTGCTTCTTTGATAAGTAATAATTGAAAACTGGTATGGGGCTTATTTTAAGAAATATTTTCTAATGTCGGTATTATTGAATAAGTGAGTAATAATAGGTCATTGTTGGGTTGTAAACTTCCTGGGTTTTGTTCTTTCTTTTTTTTCTTTTTCTTTTTTTTTTTTGAGTCAGAGACTCACTCTGTTGCCAGGCTGGAGTGTGGTGCCACACTCATGGCTACCGAAGCCTTGACCTGCTGGACTGAGGCTATCCTTCTGCCTCAGGCTTCCAAGTAGCTGGGACTACAGGCATGCACCATCACACCCAGCTAATTTTTCTTAATGCATTCTAGAGATGAGGTCTCGCCAAGTTGCCCAGGCTGGTCTTGAACCCAAGGACTCAGGCAATCCTCTCACCTTAGCCTCTCACCTCGGTTGGGATTATAGACATGAGACATCGCACCCGGCCTAGGGTTTTGTTCTTTCAAGGGACATAGATTCTAATCCTTCAAATAAATAAAAAGGAAATTGGGAATCAGTTGAAAATCGTGAGTGGTTTTATGTAACTTTTTTGTTTTTTTGGTGACTTACAGATGCAAACTTTCGTAATTTGATCCATTTGACAGTAATCCATGTCAAAATAAATAAGAAATCTCTTATGTATTCTTCAAATCTATAGTAATTAACTCATTTCAGAAATACTGGGCTTTTGCTCAAATAGCTGTCACATTGTCATGGCTTTGGAATGGATGATTAACTCCATGATTAAGGCTAGAGAGGAAAGTTGACTTAAGGCAGCTCTTTTACTTGGTCTTTGTAATCTTGTTCAAATTTTTTCTAAGAATGAAATATTTTTACAAGTATTAGGAGACAATTACTGCAAAAAAAATTGCTTTCATTGTAGCATCTAAAGATGGCACAGCTGGGATACCCAACCTGCAACTTTATGATGTAAAAACTGGAGCATGTTTGAAATCTTTCATCCAGAAAAAAATGCAAAATTGGTAAACAAATGCTTAAAAGTACTAATATTTTACACAATATTTTAAATATTAATAACTGTATAATATTTGTTTTTCTGGCATTGATTTTAAAAATAACTCATTAGGCCAAAATCTAGCTCTTTAAGAATTTTGTATATAGAACTGTAGTAGCATAAAACTTGATCTTTTTTTGGTTAAGTATTTAAGTGGAAAGAAACAATGTTTTTCTATTACATATGCTGACTAAAACTATTAATAACTGATATGATCTACTTATAAGTATGTTTTAATAGTAAGCAATATACAAACTTCTACATGTTAACGTGAAATTACATTCTGAATAATTTTTAAAAATATATCCTCTCTTTTTTTGGACATAGGTGTCCATCCTGGTCAGAAGATGAAATGCTTTGTGCCCGAAATGTTAACAATGAAGTTCACTTCTTTGAAAACAACAATTTTAGTATGAAAAGACTTACAAACTAATTTTATTATTTGCTGTAATTGTATATGACTTTCATTCTTTTATAGCATCATAGAATTCTCCTAAATACTGTTAATTTGTTAATCAATAATTATCATATTTATTTGTGTAACTCCTTGTAAGTCTAAATCTAGTGAAAATCTATAGCACAAAGATTTTCTTTTACAATAACTTTTATTATCCGATAATTGCTGTTAATTTAAGACATGTGAATACCACTTCCTGTGTTCAGTTGCTGTTGAAATTCTGTGACGTGCATTTTTTTTTTAAGTATTTCATTGTGTAGAATTTCAAACACTTAGTCCCAGTACTGTCACCCCATGGTTAGTTCTCTCATTTGTATATCTGTCAAACTACCATCTTTCTTACTAAGAAAAAGCAAATCCCAGACATGATATAAATTTGCATAATTTTTAATATATAATTTTGTATATATTTGTATACAGTTTTTCAGTATAGTTCTCTGAAAATTGGGGCCCTTAATTTTTTTCAACTTGCCTACAATACTGTTGTTGCAGATTATTAAATATTTGGTCAGTGTTCAAATTTCTGATAATTGCAAATGTTATAACTTTTTTTTAAACTCAGGATCCAGGCCAGATGTTGTGGCTCATGCCTGTAACCCCAGCACTTTGGAAGGCTGAAGTGAGAGGATTGCTTGAGCTCAGGAATTCAAGACCAACCTGGGCAATATAGCAAGACCTCGTCTTTTTTTTTGGTTTTTTTTTTTTTGAGTTGGGAGTCTCACTCTGTTGCCCAGGCTGGAGTGCAGTGGCTCTCTCACGGCCGCTGCAGCCTCAACCTGCTGTACTCAGGCAATCCTTCAACCTCGGCTTTCTAGTAACTAGAACTACAGGCGCATGCTACCATGCTCAGCTTATTTTTTGATTTATTGTAGAGACAAGACAGGGTCTCGCCAAATTGCCCAGGTTGTTCTCTAACCCGTGGGCTCAGGCAATCCTCTCGCCTCGGCCTCCTAAAGCACTGGGATTATAGGTTTGAGCCACTGTGCCCAGCCAAGACTTCGTCTTTATAAAAAATAAAAAGATTAACTAGATGTGATGGTGCATACCTTTAGTCCCAGCTCCCTAGGAGGCTGAGGCAGAAGGATCCCGTGAGGCCAGGAGGTTGAGGTTGTGGTGAACCATGATCGTGCCACTGTACTCCAGCCTGGGCAACAGAGTGAGACCCTAACTCAGAAAAATAAAAAAACTCAAGATTCAAATAAGGTACTGTACATTGCAGTTGATTGATATATCTTTTAAGTTTATTTTAATATAGATTCCCACTCCATCTTTTTTTTTCCTCTGGTAACTTATTATTTAAGAAGCAAAGTTGTCTGGCTTGCATATATTCTCATAGTCTGAACTTTGCTTTTGTATCTCATGACATAATTGAACATGTTCATCTGTCCCCTATAAAGTGCTAGTTGGATCTAGAGTTGGTCAACTTCAAATTATTTTTTTGGTTAGTGAGAGCAAGACTACATCATAAGGTAGTATTCAGTTCTTTTGTCGAAACACATAATGTCTGGTTGTATTTTATTTTGTAGGGTTAGCTAACATTAGTTTTCCATACCTAGATGTATTATTTCATCAGTACTTACAAATTGGTGTTATTTTTATTTTTTAATCTCTCCCTTCTTATTTATTAGCTATACTTCTTCGAAGAAAAAAATCCCCTATCCATTATTTGGTTACCTAGTGGTACCATTATATAGAAAAGTCAGGCTAAGTTGTCTTTCCTTTTATTCGTTTTTATATAATGCTGTCTCTGGCAACCTTCAGTATAATCATTATGAGTTTTTTCCCATTCTTAATGAATTGTGGATTACATACAGGTATATGTGTTTTAATCCATTGTAGCTATTATTCTTATTGATGCTCAAATTGTCTCATCTTTGGCCAATATGTCCTTAATGTTCTTTGCTATATGGTAAGATAAATTGTTCTCAGATTATCTTGTAATTTCCTGCAGTACACTTAAAGTCAGCCAATTTTCAAGAAACCTTGATTCCTTTTTAGTGGAAAAGGGTATGCAGAGACCTCAGTCTGAATTCTAGGGATTCTTACTGTTACTACATTGATTGTTATTTCTAGACCTTTCTTTTTCTTTTTCTTTCTTAAAGATATAACAATCATGAGTTTATACTGATACTTTAAATGAAAAACTAAGCCTCTCCTATTTTTCTTAACTTTTCTATCTTATTTGTATTGCTTTTTGCCAACACCAAGAATCCTGTTCCTCTGGGATACAAGGGACAATCATTTGAGAATATCACATTCACTTGAGTATTCATTTGCTTTGTTCCATGTTATCCACATAGTATTTCTAGAATCTTAATACCGATAATAATATCAATAACACAGTTACTGAAAGTAAATTAAAGGGTTTGCAGCACAGTTTGTCTTTAGAATACTTTTGAGTGAGCACTTTTGAGTATATTATAGTTTGAATAAGAACTGGCAACTCTGTTCACTTGTACCAAAGATGGCATGCAACTGATTTTGAGGACCATCCAGTCAGTATAGCTATGCACTTTATTTTCCTGTGTTTGAGGCTCATTCAACCCTGTTGTTTTTGGGTAGGTTGCTTTTTTTTGTCTTACTTGCCTCTTTGTGAGCATACCAAAAGAAGGGGAGTCACCATTTTAGCTATTGATCTCTGAAATTGAACAAAGAGTATTAGCTCTTGATCCCAGTAAGTAGGGGAGAAGTCTGAATAACATGAGTTCTGACTGCCTGGCATAAGAGTAAGCACTTAGTCAGCCATTGATTATCATGTATCTATTTAACACATTAGTTAGAGAATTCCCATATGCACATTCTGTAGTAGCAGGCCAAGGCTGATCTTTCCCATCTAATGGGCTCTATGACTACTTTATTTCAGAGGTAGAAGAGAACTGTCATTTATTGAATATTTAACATGTGCCTGGCACTGTGCTTCTAAAGTGTCACTGGGAATTAAGTAGTATAATCCTATTTCTTGCCCCAAACCCCCACAGCTAATAAATGACTGAGTAGATATTGAAGCCTCATTATGTCTTGTTCCAACTCCATGCTCTTTCTACTGTGTTGCTGTGTCGCTCTGCTTGACCTACATGGAACTGCAATGAGTAGTCTTAGTGTGTAGCTATAGTAACCATTTATAATACATTCAGAGTTGAACATGTTCATCTTAGCTTTTCTCATCAATCTAACCCCATTTACTCTTTTTCCAGGCGCTATTGCAAATAAATTGCATTTGCAAAAAATTAATGATTTTGTATTATCACCTGGACCTCAGCCATACAAGGTAATGGTTATGTTTTTGTTTGTTTATATGGAATAGTATGTATTTAAACCTGTTCCTTGTTTTTTGTGACTGTAAAAACATGTTCATCTTAGTTTTTATGCTTCAAAAGATTAAGTAATGCTTTATGTCTATGTATCTTAGGTGGCCGTCTATGTTCCAGGAAGTAAAGGTGCACCTTCGTTTGTCAGGTTATATCAGTACCCCAACTTTGGTGGACCTCATGCAGCTTTAGCCAATAAAAGTTTCTTTAAGGCTGATAAGGTTACAATGCTGTGGAACAAAAAAGGTATGATAAATATGTTTCATCCTTCATTTTGTTTATCAAATGTTAATTTAGGTTATATTTCTATGTGTATAAAAAATAGAATTAATACTTATTTAGTTGAATTTAAAATTTAATTAAAGTTTTTGCTGTTTTTTAAAAATAGCTACTGCTGTGTTGGTAATAGCTAGTACGGATGTTGACAAGACAGGAGCTTCCTACTATGGAGAACAAACTCTGCACTACATTGCAACAAATGGAGAAAGTGCCGTAGTGCAATTACGTGAGTATTGCAGCAGTCTTCCTTTTATAAAAACAATGATAGTAAAAAACATGCCATAAAGATGATAAAATCTGAAGTGGTTATTTGGTTTTTGAGTTGGAGTCTCACTCTGTTGGCCCAGGCTGGAGTGCAGTGGCACAATCATGGTTTACCCCAGCCCTGACTGCCTGGGCTCAGGTCATCCTTCCACCTCAGCCTCCCAAATAGCTGGAACAGCAAGCATGCACCAACATGCCCGGCTAATTTTTTGATAAAGATGAGGTCTCACTGTGTTGCCCAGGCTGGTCTCAAACTCCTGGCTCAAGCAGTCCTACCTTGGCCTCTCAAAGTGCTGGGATTACAGGTATGAGCCACCAAACCCAGCCGATATAATGTAAATTCTTGATCAAGTGATCGAATTCAAATATTTTAATAACTTAACTTTTCCTTCTAATTAAGAAACTTAAAATCATCTTCAGACATGTCTTATTTTGACAGAATACAATTAGTTAATTGATTTGTGCTAGCACTTGAGAAGTAACTTCCTGAGTGAGATAATTCCATTGTAGTAGCTCTTGTCGGACTTAATTATTATTTAACTAATTATGACAGCAGGTTGTTTTGTATGTTTAGTACTATCTCTAGAATTTTTTTTTTTGTTTGAGTTAGAGTCATACCCTGTCACCCAGACTGGAGTATAGTGGCACACTCCCAGCCACTGCAGCCTCAACCTGCTGGGCTCAGGCAATCCTCCTGCCTCAGCCTTCCAAGTAGCTGGAACTACAGGCATGTACCACCACGCCTGGCTAATTTTTTGAATTATTGTAGAGATGAGGTATTGCCAAGTTGCCCAGGCTGGTTTCTAAACTGTGGGCTCAGACAGTCCTCGTGCCTCTGCCTCCCAAAGTGCTGGGATTACAGGCGTGAGCCACCATGCCTGGCCTAGAATTGTTAATAATATCCAAGAACGTTACCACTTTGTCTGTTGTTTTCATGTGCTTAAACTTTAAAACAATAGATTTGAAATATTGGCAGCTCCATGATTTTCTCATCATGGATTGAATATGTGTAAGTAGGATAACTTTCTTACAAAAACTGTATTCCCAGTGAAGTCAGAAACAAAACAAGGATGGCTTCCCTTTTCACTATTATTTTAATAACATATGAAATACCTAGTTAATATAAATTATCAAAAGAAGTAAAACATATACAGTTTTGAAAGGAAAAAACATGTGGAAGATAATGTACCTGAAAAAGAAAGGTGTACATTTTAATGTACTTATGTGGGAAAATCTCCACCAGAGTATGAAATGAACTAACAGAGTCTAGGACTTTGCCATTTGGGTGTGTTTATGAGAGAGATGCTTTATTTTAAGAAAATAATCCTGAAAGTATATGCAAGAAATATAGGCTGGGCACGGTGACTCACGTCTGTAATCCTAGCACTTTGGGAGGCCAAGGTGAGAGGACTGCCTGAGCCCACAGGTTTGAGACCAGCCTGGCAACTCAGCAAGACCTCATCTCTACAGTAAATCCAAAAAAACATTAGTCAAGTATGGTGACGCATACCTGTAGTTCCAGCTACTTGGAAGGATGAGGCGGAAGTATCACCTGAGCCCAGCGGGTCGAGGCTGTGGTGGCCATAAGTGTGCCACTGCACTCCAGCCTGGGCAGCAGAGTGAAGCTCCAAATCAAAAAAGAAAAGAAATATAACAGAAGGGATTGCCTTTGTGTAAAAGGACCTATTTTTATGGCACTTTAAAAAATATATTTTGCATTTTTATTACCATGTGCATTTATTACCCCTTCCAAAAACATTTGTTTATTAATAGTAATAAACTATTACTATAAGCCCACATTGCCAAATATGTAATAGAAGTTAAGATTCAGTATGAGTTCTGAAGCAAATTTATGATTATACTTTAACCCCAGAATATAATGTAAGAATATTTTAATTTTAACATTACTTAAAATTTTTAGAATTTTTTAACTGTTTGACATATTTATGAGAACTATATTTTTATAATTTGTGCTAATAAATATTACATTTGTATAATTATCACTAATTTGGGTTTTATATTCTTTTTTTAGCCAAAAATGGTCCCATTTATGATGTAGTTTGGAATTCTAGTTCTACTGAGTTTTGTGCTGTTTATGGTTTTATGCCTGCCAAAGCAACCATTTTCAACTTGAAATGTGATCCTGTATTTGACTTTGGAACTGGCCCTCGTAATGCAGCCTACTATAGCCCTCATGGACATATACTGGTGTTAGCTGGATTTGGAAATCTGAGGGGACAGATGGAAGTGTGGGATGTTAAAAACTACAAACTTATTTCTAAACCAGTGGCTTCTGATTCCACATATTTTGCTTGGTGCCCAGATGGTGAGCATATTTTAACAGCCACGTGTGCTCCAAGGTTACGTGTTAATAATGGGTACAAAATTTGGCATTATACTGGTTCTATCTTGCACAAATTTGATGTGCCATCAAATGCAGAATTATGGCAGGTTTCTTGGCAGCCATTTTTAGATGGAATATTTCCAGCAAAAGCAATAACTTACCAAGCAGTTCCAAGTGAAGTACCCAGTAAGGAGCCTAAAGTTGCAACAGCATATAGACCTCCAGCTTTAAGAAATAAACCAGTCACCAATTCCAAACTGGTAAGTAAAGCTTTAACTGCTTTGGTAGAAAAGGATTTGCATTATGTAGAGTTCTCTAGACTTTTTTCTCATGTTCTTGTGTTACTTAGTACCTTATCAGAAATCACTGAGGACCTAATCCTCGGTAAACAGGTGAACAGCTCATGTTTTTAAGTTGACAAGGTAAGTTGACTTCAAGCAGTTCACATTTAAATTTTCTGGAAAAGATAATTGAGTATTACACATTGGTTTTCTATTTTGTTATAGTCTGTTCTTGTATTTTCATTTGCTTTTATTTTAAACTTCTAACCTGTGATTTTACAAGTAAAGATCTAACAAGTAATTCTTTATGTGGAGAGAATAAGGGAGGCCACTGGGTTTCTGTTGACAGAAGTCAGACCCAAAAAGACCTCTCAGATGAAGCTTTGTTGGTATCTAGTTTCAAAAGAATTATGTGTCTCTAGTTCTGTTGCTGAAACAAAACTAAAGTGAATTGTACCAGCTTTTATATGATTGAAAGAAATATCAGCCAAGAGGAAGACCCTTATTAACCCCATCCTGACAAATGGAGTGTGCCACTACCAGTAAGAGTTTGGAAGTAATCTTTGCCAATCTTAAATAAAACTTGATCCTCAATAAATGTGATAAAATAAGTTTATCTTTACTAGCAAAAGTCTATAATTTGTTATGTATATTTCTTAAAACATGGACTCCATTTCATAATTGTTTATTTTACATTTCCCATAGCATGAAGAGGAACCACCTCAGAATATGAAGCCTCACCCAGGAAATGATAAGCCTTTATCAAAAACAGCCCTCAAAAATCAAAGGAAGCATGAAGCTAAGAAAGCTGCAAAGCAGGTATTTGGGGCATCAATTTCAAAACAAACAAGTTAAATTAGCGATAAGCCTTAAGGTTTAAAGATTTATGGTCTTGAAGATCTAATTTTTGTGTTATAAAACATAATTGGAGTTAGACTTAAATAGGTAGAATGTCTTTCTTTTGTGTTTGCCTATAAATTTCTAAGTGGTCCTGTCCATGTAATGCGTGACAAAGGAAACTGCACCTGACCCTAACACCTGAGACACAATGGAATTGTGTAGTGTGTTACTTGCAATATACCCTTTTGGTGGAGCCTTTTTTAAGTTGGAGTCTCACTCTGTCGCCCAGATTGGAGTACAGTGGCCACTCCCGGCCACCGCAGCCTCGACCTGCTGGGCTCTGGTGATCCTTCCACCTCAGCCTTCCAAGTAGCCGGAATTACGGGCATGTGCTACCATGCCCGGCTGATTTTTTGACGTATTGTAGAGATGAGGTCTCGCTGCCCAGGCGGGTCTCGAACCCATGGGCTCAGGCAATCTACTCACCTCAGCCTCCCAAAGGCATGGGATTACAGGCTGAGCCACCGAGCCCAGCTGCTTACTTTCTTTAAAGCATGTATTTATTAAGAGAATCTGGAAATTACATGACTATAAAGCCGTTTTGATACTCTGTATTATATGACTATGAAATTATTCAACTGGGAATCTACATACCAGAAGTACCCAAATAATGGAATTGTGTAATTTTTTGTTTGCTTATATAGCTGAAGAACCACACCAGTGTAATAGTTGACAAATAAATTGTGATGTTGTATGGCTCATGGTGATAGTATGATTAGCTTACATTTTTGCAGTTCAGACAGTACATCTCTTAGTCCATTCAGATGCTGTAACAAAATACCTTAGACTGGGTAATTTATAAATGACAGGAGCTTATTGCTCATGGTTCTGGAGGCTTGGGAGTTCAAGAGCAGGACACTGGCAGATTCGGTTTCTGCAAAGGGTCTGTTCCTCATAAATGACACCTTCTGTGTATCCTCACGTGGCATAGGAGGCAAGGGAGTGCCCGTGAGCATCTTTTTTAAGGTAATCACATTCATGAGGGTGAAGTCCTCATGACTCCATGACTCCAAAGGCCCCACCTCTTAATACTATCACATTGGGTACTGAGTCCCAACCTATGAATTAGGGAGTGGACACCAATGTTCAGACTATAGCAGTGGTGTAGATTTTTAACAGCTGACTGCCATATCACCAATCCAGTCTTGCTGGTAATTCTTGAATTTTGACAGGTCATGTGTTTTTGTTGGCAGGTACTATTTTAAGGAATAGAATTACAATCATATTCTACTAAAATCTGAGCTTTTAAAAGAATCATTGTGCTCGTTTGTAGTTAATATATTTCATCCCCAGAAGTATTTTTTAATTGGTCAGATTTAGGTTCGTCTAAGTACAGAGATCTACTCCATGCATCAGATTTGTATAAAAGCAGAATACGTCCCTTCATGAATGTGGATAGGGACCTCTTCTGGCCCTGGATATTATAGCATGTTAGGAGTACTGTATCCTTATAACTATTGTTGGTAAGATGCCTTCTGATTGAGATTCAGGGCCCCTCTGAAACCTACTTAACTTAGAATTATATTTTTATAAGCAAGGTTTTTTTTTTATCAGAAGCTTATTTTAATATAATCATTGCTGGTACTGAACTAAAATCCCTTTGTAATAAAATATTACTTGTTAATTTTGTATGCTTTTCTGGTATTTGAGCATGTAAGAATGTGGGGGGTTATAGAAGGTCAGTATGTCTTACTCAGAAAAATCAATTTTAAAATAATTGACTTTAAGCCAGGTGTGGTGGCTCATGCCTATAATCCCAGCACTTGGGAGGCTGAGGTAAGAGGATCGCCTGAGCCCACAGGTTCGTGAACAGCCTAAACAATTTGGCTCATCTCTATAATAAATCAAAAAATTAGCTGGGTGTGGTGGCATGTGCCTATAGCTCCAGCTACTTGGAAGGCTGAGGTGGAAGAATCACCTGAGCCCAGCGAGTCGAGGCTGTGGTGGCTGTGAGCATGCCACTGTACTCCAGCCTGGGCTCAGGCAATCCTCACCTTGGGCTCCCAAAGTGCTGGGATTATGGGTATGAGCCACCACACCCGGCCTATTACTAGTGTTTTTCTAAACTGGTAATAATTTTGTAAGTTTATTGACTACCAGAAAGGGGTTCAAGCATAAGAATTTAGTCTTACCATAGACACATCCTTTCTAAAAACTGGCCAGAATTTAAGTATAATAATGTAGACATCTTATTCTTGTTATGGTGAAAAAATAAATTTCATATTGTACTTAATTTTAATGATTTTTCACATTTATAACATCTTTTTTCTAGAAGAAAACTTACATTCTTCTACTGTAATTTTATGTTACAAAAAATACCAAGCTGTGTATCTATATATTATTAGAACTTATAGGCTCCCTTTTTTTTGAGTTAGACTCTCACTCTGTCACCAAGGCAGGCATGCAGTAGCACAACCACGGCTTATCACAGCCTCAATCTCCTGGACTCAGACCATCCTTCAGCCTCAGCCTCCTGAGAGGCTGAGACTGTAGGTGTACACCATCACACCTGCCTACTTTTCTGACTGTTTTGAAGAGACAGGATCTCACTGTATTGTCCAGGCTGGTCTCAAACTCCTGGGCTCAAGCCAGTCCTCCCACCTTGGCCTCCCAAAGTGCTGGGATTACAGGTGTGAGCCACCGTGTCCAGCCAAGGCTCCTTAGGAGTAGTAACTTAACATTTTCTTTCTGAATACACAAAATTCCCAATATTGTGTTTTTACACAGAAGGTAAGGATTTAATGTTTGTTGAATTGGAGTGTACAAAAAGGTGAAACCAACATAACTTTAAAAAGAAAAAGTGACTCCAATTCTGTGTTCTCTAAAATCTCTTAGACTTTTTAGAGTTGAAAGTCTAGGAGTGACTTGCTATTCTATGTTCCCCTGAGATGCTTTGGAAGTACAGAGTAGCCCATCCAGAACTCTGAGTAAAAGGTTTTAGAGACCTGGGGCATTATGTATTCCACTAGGAACTCTACAAGGAAAAAATAGAAACCATACCTTGGTACCATTGAAAACTTAAGCAACTTTTTTCTCCTCTTGTCAAAACATATATCTTGTCATAAAGGAAAAGTCATTATTTTGCTCTTTGTTCTTTTATTTATTAAGCCTATACAATGAAGCAAATATTATTCTAGCATCCCAATTCTAATAAGGGATAGTGTCATATGGTGTTACAGTAGGGATAAATGCTATGTATTGTGGGAAGCTGGGAAAAGTACAATAGGTATCCTAGTTTACTCTGACAAAGGTAATTTCATTGACCTTAGCCTTGGTATATAAAATATAGGAATAAAAGGTCATGAGGTTTGTAGTATAGTCCTGTGATACATGCTATAAAGGTCATGAGGTATGCTATATAGTCCTGTGATATGTATTAATTCAGATTCTTTCGTTATATAAAATGTAGATTAAAAATTACATATTTAGTTCCTATATTTTATATACCAAGGCTGTGTCTATTGAAATACTTTAATGTTTTTAATTTGAAAATTGAATTTTAAAAACTATTTCCTACAGGAAGCAAAAAGTGACAAGGGTCCAGATTTGGTGCCTACTCCTGCTCCGCAGAGCATACCACAAAACACTATCCCTCAGTCAGTTTCTGGAGACCCTGAAATAGACAAAAAAATCAAGAATCTAAAGAAGGTGAGAGATTTAAATGCAAAACAGATGTGTATGTTGAAAGGTATACATGAGAATTGTATAAAGAAGGTAGTCTAGGTACCTGAAGACAGGTATTTAAGAAGTCTATAGCAGTTCTCATTGTTGCTGTCAAATACTGTCATTCAAAAATGACACTGAGTTTACTTCTGTTAGGCTATTAGTACTTTTGTTATGGATTTTTGGAGAAATAAAAAATATGTGCATTTGTATAGAAATATCCTGAACACTTTTATTCTCAGTATTTCATTAGATACAAAATTTATTAGCTTGTGATATGCATCCAGTGTGTGGTGGTGGTGCTGGGGATAGAGCCCTTCGTGGCTTACGAGGCTTCACTTAAAGCCAAAGACATCATACAGGTCCTATGGAATATTAAAATAAATGGTGACGTGATAAATTTACATATATGTACAATCTATATATGTACAATATATATTACATATATGCACAATATAATTGCATAATATAATATGATTATATTAAAAGCTTGAGAAAAATGTTTTGGCAAATCTTATGTTTTTAGCATATACAATTTTACGTTTAATTTTAAAAAATAGTTTGCCCTAGCATTTTAACTGACCATTTGTGATGCAAATAGAAGATAATTGATTCTCCTTGTTCATATTCGTGTAATTGAGTTGTTGATAAGAAAATGTACGTTCAAAAATGACTTTTTCTTCCTTCCTCTTGACTCATTTGATTACAGAAACTGAAAGCAATCGAGCAACTGAAAGAACAAGCAGCAACTGGAAAACAGTTAGAAAAAAATCAGGTATTTTCTGCATTTTTCATTCGGGCTTGTGGTCATCACTACCCTTCCATCTTTTATTATTAACAATTATCTAATTAGATAAAAGCACATAAATTTTAAAAACTTGCTTTGAAAACCATGTTTTTTAATGTTTTTACTGTTTAACTTAAGTTGATCTTGGAGTCACTGTTCTTTTTATTATTATTTTTTTGTTATTTGAGTTGGAGCCACTCTGTCTCCCAGGCTGGAATGCAGTGGCACACTCATGGCCACCGCAGCCTCAACCTGCTGGACTTAGGTGATCCTTCCACCTCAGCCTTCCAAGTAACTGGACCTACAGGCACACACCACAACACCCAGCTAATTTTTTGGATTTATTGTAAAGATGAGGCCTCGCCAAGCCGCCCAGGCTGATCTCCAACCTTCCAAAGTGCTGGGATTATAGGTGTGAGCCACTGCACCCAGCCAAGTCACTGTTTATACTATGCTGTACTAGACTATGCTGCTGAAAATAATTACAGTTAGTTCTTTTAGACAAATAGGAAATTCTCTTCCCTCCCATGTCTCAGGTTGCACTGCCCTGTCTACCCTTTCCTGCTTCCTTTCCTCAGCACTTTTTGTTGTTGTTGTTTTGTTTCTTTGAGTCGAAGCCTCACTCTGTTGCCCAGACCAGAGTGCAGTGGCATGCTCATGGCCACTGCAGCCTCGACCTGCTGGGCTCAGGCAATTCTTCCACCTCAGCCTTCCAAGTAGTTGGAACTACAGGCACGCGCCACCATGCCTGGCTAATTTTTTGATTTATTGTAGAGACAAGGTCTCACCATGTTGCCAAGGCTGATCTCAAACCCCTGGGCTCTGGCAGTCCTTTCACCTCCGCCTCCCAAAGTGCTAAGATTATAGGCATGAGCCACCACACCCAGTTTCCTCAGCACTTTTAAGCCCAAATATGGAAGTGAAAATTTACTGGACCTTAAAAGGATGTAGTAAGACAGTGCCTGTTTTTTGCACCCTTGATTCATACCAGATAACAAATCGGAATTTGTTTCCCATCTGTATTTTTTAATCTGTGTCTACTAGTGAATGTGATAAATTGTGAAAAATACTCTTTTCCTAAGTTTTTCTCCTGTATTACTTTGGTTACATGCTCAGTGATTATTTCATTTTCTATTTAATAACTTCATTGTTTTAAACTTTTCTAGTTGGAGAAAATTCAAAAAGAGACAGCCCTTCTCCAGGAGCTGGAAGATTTGGAATTGGGTCTTTAGAGATTCACAGAAAGCAAGTTGGTAATCAGAAATCAGTGCAGCCACATCTGTTCAACCCATTAGTATACACAGAATATCCATGTACCCACATTTAATGTTGACCTATAATTTTTACCATTTATCTAAGATTCTGCATAAGTGTGAAATTATTTAATAATGTCTATTAAATTGACATTTGCATCCTATATCCTGTATCATGTCAGTATGTGATATAGGAAAGAGATACATTAATTTTTTAGCTAAGCTGGACAGGTTAAAAGACAAACGTCATTTTTTGTAGCAGGTATTACTTACTATATGAATGAATAAAAACATCTTAAATTTAATCATGTTTGCCCTTGTTATAAGTTCCTCAGTTAAGAAGCCCTGTATCAATTTGTTAGGCATGTATTAAATTATTTAATTCTCACAAGAAGACTCTATGAGGCAGATATTATTATAGTCTCTATTTTAGAAATAAGGAAACTAAGGCCATAAAATTGAGACGTTTGCCAACGTTTCAATCCTAGGAAATGGAATTTGAACCCAACAGTTAGAGCCCAGAGCCTAAGCCCCGGGTAACTATGATACAAGTCTCTCGTATCCCTAGGTAATATATCCTTTTGTAACACTAAGCACCCTGCTTAGTTTTCATGGGCACTGCTAAATTGCCCAATGGTTTATACTTCTACCGTTTAAGGTTTTCCATACTCTTATCAATATCAAAAGTTTTAAGGCTTTCAAATTGCCATTTGATAAAAAGGAAATGATGGATTTTTATTGTTATGTACATTTCTTTTTATCAGGGATAGTATATGCACTTTTCCACATTTGACAGCTGTTTGTATTTCTTTAGTGAATTGATTTTTCTTTTCCTTTGCTCATTTCCCTGGTTGTTGGACTTTTTCTTCTAATGTAAAGGTATCCTATGTGGTAACACATAAAATTATTTTTAAAATATTTTATCTAGAAAATACATGCACAGGATTTTTTTAAAGATTTGAATAATAAGAAAAGGTCTACAGTGAAAAGTAAGTCCTCTGTTCTAGAGCAAGGGTTACCATTTTTTTGTGTAACTTTCTAAAGATAGATAGCATATGTGTATTCAAGTATATACATATATACACTTAAACAAACAAATAATATACTCATTGTTCTGTACCCTTTTTTCTCTTAACATATTTGGAGATCTTTTCATATAAGTACATCTCCCTTTACACACACACACACACACACACACACACACACACACATACATATACACAAACAAATTCATAATGATATATTGTGTATAAGATGATTTAGCTTCACACTGATATGCATTTATATAATAAAACATACCTAAATATACATATTCACATGCTTAAACAACAACAAAGAAAGTATAGATGCTTATCTGTGTTCTAGGATTGGGTTGTGTCCACATTTTGAGAAATAAAATTAGTTCCATGGATGCTCAGTTTGACTGGTAGTTAACTTTTTGTGGTGTATTTCTTTGAGTTAATGAGACACTGGGAAGGACAATTAAGACTCTTTAAGACTTTTTTATTCAAATGAGATTCAAAGCAGTTCTTGGGCTGTGTAAATACATTAATATCAAAAACAAGGCAAACTGGCCAGAATTTATAAGCAGTAAAGTGGCAGGAATGACTGTGGCAGCTTTGTGTTTCTAGCTTACCAAAATTTATTGTTCTAGAAGGAAAAAGAGTGAAATAAGCCCACACCAGGTGGCTACTTTTCTAGGTCATACTCAGCTACCAAGACCATAAAATCAAACCAGATCTAAAAGGAATGACCTTCACAGTTGTTTTTTTTTTTTTTTGAGTTGAAGTCTCACTCTGTCGCCCAGACTGGAGTACAGTGGCACGCTCCTGGCCGCTGCAGCCTCGACCTGCTGGGCTCCGGCGATCCTTCCACTCAGCCTTCCAAGTAGTAGGAACTACAGATGCGCGCTACCATGCCCAGCTAATTTTTTTGATTAATTGTAGAGATGAGGTCTCGTCAAGTTGTCCAGGCGGGTCTCGAACCCACAGGCTCAGGCAATCCACTCACCTCAGCCTCCCAAAGTGCGAGATTACAGGCTGAGCCACCAAGCCCAGCTCCACAGTTTTTTTTTTTAATTACATGGATCAATTCATGAAGTGTTTATTGGGTCCAGTGCAGGTTACAAAAGCAATACAATGTATCATTTAGAAATGTCAGATTATTTGTAGATATATTTACTTGTAAATGTTTTAATTGGTTCATGAAATGAAATACAAGACAATTCAGATTCAAGATCTTGTACCAAAAGATGTGGCTGGAGGAAGCAAGCATTGATATGAAAATATGAGATGCATTACTGTGCTCACTAATGTTTCTTTTTGTGTTCTTCTTCTAGACATGTGGGAGAATTACACTTCCCCATCCCTTTGAAATTAGGCATGGCTAAGTGACTTGCTTCAGTTAATGACATGTTAGGGAGAAGGGAGGTTTCTCATTTCTGAGCAGAAACACTAATGAGCTGGTACTTCATGCCTCCTCCCCTGCTGTGGTTGACCCTGAGGGCTGGGGTTGAAATGGCAGTGTCATAGAGGGTGGGTCTTGAGTGACTACAGTAAGTAACCCCTCTGACTCATTTTGGGCTTTTAATGTGAATGAGAGATATACTTTTGTTTTTTAAGCCACTGAGATTTAAGAAATGTATTTTTATTCCCAAGATACTTTAGCCCAAGTGATTCTCAGGTCTTGTTGCACATTATAATCACTTAGGAAGCTTTTATGATTCCTGATACCCAAATCCCCCTTCATACCAGTTAAATAAGAATATCTTATGGTAATCAGGCATTAGTATTTTTCAAAGGTTTTCCAGGTGGTTCCTATGTGATAGCAAAGTTTGGGAACTATAAACCTAGCCTTTGCAGCAGTCCCTAACCTTTTTGGCATCAGGGACTGGTTTCACAGAAGACAATTTTTCCACAAACCAGGGGTGGTGGGATGGTTTTGGGATGATTCAAGCTTTACATTTATTGTGCACTTTATTTCTATTATTATTACATTGTAATATATAATGAAATAATTTTGCAACTCACCATAATGCAGAATCAGTGGAAGCCCTGAGCTTGTTTTCCTGTAACTAGACAGCCCCATCTGGGGGGTATGGGAGACAGCACTAGCATCACCCCTTGGCTCCACCTCAGATCATCAGGCATTAGATTCTTATAAGGAGCACACAACCTGGGTCCCTCGCATGCACAGTTCACAATAGGGTTTGCACTCCTATGAGAATCTAATGCCGCTGCTGATCTGACAGGAGGTAGAGCTCAGGTGGTAATGTGAGCAATGGGGAGCGCATGTTAATACAGATGAAGGTTTACGCGCTCGCCTACCATTCACCTCCTGCTGTACCATCCAGTTCTTAACAGGAGACTGGTACCAGTCAATGGCCTAAAGGCTAGGAAACCAATCCTACAGTATTAATGCATTCCTGAAAATGTAAGAGTCAACCAATGTTTTTTCTGTTGCAGGAAATGTTCATCCCTAGGAAGCATAAAATATAAAAATTTCAGCCAGGCGTGGTGGCATGTACCTGTAGTCCCAACTACTCAGGAGACTGAAGCAAAAGGATTGCTTGAGCCCAGGAGTTGAAGGCTGCAATAAGCTATGATCACATGACTGCATTCCAGTCTGGGCAACAGAGTGAGACCCGGTCTCTAAAAAAAAGCTGGAAATTAAAAAAAAAATGAATGACTATTTTACAGATTGCCTTATTGACCTATTACTATATTTACAATATTTCATAGATTTTGTTCTTTGTTACATTTGAACACGACAATCTTGTGAGCATCTGGTGCTGAATATTTTCCACTTTTGTCACACCTGAATAACTCCATCTTTTCTCAGGATTAAGTTTATAACAGTAAAGATTTTTATCATAAAGTATCATCACCTTATTTTATTGTCAATTCATTTGGGTAAAATAATGAGATACTAGATACAAATAATAGATAATTGCACACATTCTGGTGGTTAGTCTGAGAAGGCAACTTATGTTGGTTGTCAGGGAATGGTACTGTGTGATTGCTCAAAATGTTCATTTGTCTATCAGGGTATTTAAATGGTCATGAGAAAGGTGAGTTGGATTGTTATGAACTGAATGTTTGTATCCTTCCAAAATTCATATGTTGAAGCCCAACCCCCAATATGATGGTACTTGAAGATGGGACCATTCAGAGGAATTAGGGTTAGAAGAAGGCCCTCCTAATGGGATTAGTGCTATTAGAAGAGACACCAGGAAGTGTCTCTCTGTCTCTCTGTGCCTGTCTTTGAGCAGGGACCTCAGGTTTCTCCTTTCCTTGAACTTGAACTCAGACTGGAACACACCATCAGCTCTCCTGCTTCTCAGGCCAAAACTGTACCATTTGCTCTCTTGCTGACTGCATATCTTGGGACTTAACAGGCTTCATAATAATGTGAGCCACTTCCTGATAGATAGATAGATAGATAGATAGATAGATAGATAGATAGATAGATAGATAGATAGACAGACAGATAGACAGATAGATAGATAGATAATGTGTTTCTCTGGAGAACCCTAACTAAATAATACAAATTTTAGTGCCAAGAATTGAGCTACTGCTATAACAAATACCTAAAATTGTAGAAGTGGTTTTGGAATTGGGTAACTAGAGGCTGGAAGAGTTTTGAAGTGCATACTAGAAATGTGTACATGATAGTTTATTCTGGCCGGGTGTGGTGGCTCATCCCTGTAATCCCAGCACCTTGAGAGGCTAAGGCAAGAAGATTGCTGGAGCCCAGGAGTTCAAGACCACCTTGGGCAACCTGGTGAGACCTCATCTCTACAATAAATTTTTAAAAATTAGCTAGGTGTGGTAGGGTGTGCCTGCAGTTTCAGGTACTTGGAAGGCTAAGATGGAAGAATTACCTGAGTCCGACAGGTCAAGGTTGTGGTAGCTGTGATCATGCCACTGCACTCCAGCCTGGGCAACAAAAATAAGGAACGTATTATTAGAAATAGGAGAAAGGCAATCTGTGTTATAAGTCTGGGCAAGTGTCAAGGAACTGGGCTGAACTGTGTTCTGGTGTTCTGTAAAAGGTAAACTTGCAAACAATGAAACTGGATATTTAACTGAGGAGATTTTTTTTTAATTAAACTTCATTGTATTATAGAGATGGGGTACAAGTAAGGATTAACTACGTAAGTAGGCTGCATGCAGGTGAAGTTTGGGCTTCTAGGTGGCCCTCACTTCCCCTGGTAGTGGACCGGGTACACTTTGTGTTATCACGTGCCCCCCACCTTCCTGCCCCCCAGCCTCCCCTTGCAGTGCCCAGTGGCTGCCAATCCCTCCCTTGTGCTAGTATAAGGACCTACTTATGAGTGAGAATATGTGGTATTCAGTTCTTTGTTTCTGAGATAGTTCACTTAGTATGATGATCTCCAACTCCATCCAATTTGCAGCTAAGTCAATGATTTTGTTCTCTGTGGCTGTATATACTGCATCATGTATATGTACCACATTTTCTTTACCCACCACTTTCGATGGACTGTAGGGTTGCTTCCATGTTTTTGCTATTGTGAATGGTGCTGCAATAAACATGCATGTGCAGGTGTCTTTTTGGAAGAGCAATTTATGTTCCTCCAGGTACATTCCCAGAAGAGGGACTGCTAGATCATTTGGAAGGTCAATTTTTAGTTCTTTTTTTTTTTTTTTTT